CTTTCCCTTCTATTTCAGATCATGTGGATCCATAAAAGATTGAAAGAACGTTTAATATGTCCCTACCCGACAAAGTTGGAGAAATTTCGTCCCACATCGACTCACAAACCCAACTATGGTTCTTGAAAGTGGTTCATAAGGGTGGGTGATTCCACAAAATGAATTCACGCAGCCACGCGATGAGCCCAAAGCGAACTATTCTTTCGCCTTTTACTAAAGAATACCGTGTGTTCATCGCAAATAGTGGCATACGCTTATTTTTGGAGAGCCCTTTCCAAAGGTTTGGGCTCCTTCAAACCATTAGTTTAAATTTTGTTTCAAATAGCAGGCTTACTGTTTTAACTGTCCTAGTTTTATGGATATAGCGAAAACTTTTTTTTTTATTTAAATGTTGTTAACATATTTCTAAACAATTTTATGTTTTAACTTTAAGCATCATTTTCCTATAATTTTGTTAATCAGTTTTTGATCAATAAAAATTCATTATAAAAGCAGAACAAGGAGAGAGGTAAACCATTCATTTTAATCTCGTAACTCTATTTGAGTGCTCTCATTCTCCCACCCTCTCCACTCTTTTTCCGTCTGTTCGGCTTTCAGGAAAAATGATACAAGAAAAATTCTTCTGGAGGAAATTGATGTAAAAGAAAAGAAAAATAAAAATTAATTAATTTTCTAACCCGTGCCTGGTTTGCAAGAAAGTTCATAAAATTATAAAACTTCAACTTTCTGGCAATGCATAATAATGGACCCTACTTCTTGGGAATGCAGGTCCGACTATGGGCCGAATCCAGAATCATCTGTGATTTGAACCGTTCAAGACCCGCCAAGATCAACTGTGCTAACATGGCCTTCACTTAATCGGTTCAAATTTGTTTTTAACCAGCAAATATGATTTTCAGAATAGATTGTCTGGGCTTGTTTTGTTTCTGTTTGTAAAGTAGTTTTTGAGATAAAAAGTACGAAAACTTGTTTGGTTTGCCTTTTTTCAGAAATGATTTTGGAAAATTGTTTTGAGGAGAGAGCTTTTAAAAAAATGATTGATTTGATGTGTATGAAAGAGAGTGAGTGATTTTGGAAAGTAAATAACCAAACAAAATTTTGAAACTTTTTTGAAAAAATTTGTTTGGTTTGATTACTCTTGAAAATTTATTTATAGAGAATTTTTTTCAAAATTTTTTTGAAAAACAAACCAAACAAGCCCTCTATTTTTTAAAGAAATTGTGATCCAATCATATAATTACTAATATCTAATCATATTGAATTTTTGGCATACATAATTTACTTGATAAACTGTACAAGATGAATGGTTTTAATCGTAGAAGTAAGCTCACAACCCTCTCAACTAGACCCTCCAAGCTAATTAATGGATGGACAGAAGCCTTTTCCTTATCTAATATACATAATAACATTTGAAATATTTCTTTCATAAAAGTGGTTAAGGTAGGATTCTCACTGTCAAGTGACAACCAAACACACGTAATATGTTAGCAAACAGTTTTTATTTTTTATTTTTTTCAATCAAACCCAACCCAATACTCGGTACATTGGCTATGTATATATTATTATTTTTCTGAGCTTAGTCCAAATCAAAGATAGTCTGACAATGTTAGAGAAACTTCCTCCCACATCGACTCACAAAATTCAAATTGTATTCCATGAAGTAGTTCATAATGGTGGGTGATTCGACAAATGAATGCAACGCAGCCACGCGGTGAGCACAAAGCGAACTATTCTCTCGCCTTTTACTAAAGAATACCGTGTGTTCGCCGCAACTAAGTGTAAGTGGCATATGCCAATTTTTGGAGAGCCCTTTCCAAAGGTCTGGGTTCCATTTCAAACCAATAATCTAAACTTTGTTGCCAAGTAGTCTTGATTGAGTTATTTTATTTTATATGGTGAGCTGAAATTGTTTTCGAAATCATTTTCTTTATACTTCTTGGGTGAAATTTTGAAAATATTTTTTTTATTCAATCTAAAGAATTGACTGAACAACGCTGAAGAAAAGCATCAAGCTCGTTTCTAGTTGTTTCCACTTCTCTCATTTATAGCTTTAACTGTTTATTCAACAAGTTTCACGTTTGGTACATCAATTTTAAATCAGTTGCATCAAAAACCAATATTATCCCAACAATGTTGACCCTTTTTTATTTTTGTTTTATATATTTCAATTCCATCAATAACGTTAGCTTTGGTAACAATTGGTAGATATGCCAAGGTTAAGACCACTATTTCCAGTTGTGATTGCACTTTCACACTTAATCCCATGAAAATAAAAGGGAATACACCTATCTGACTGGCTTTGCCTTCTGTCATTGAGCTCACATTTAATGTCCATGATGTGGTGGGGGCAATTTCTAGTTCCTTCTTTCCTATATTACTGTAGGAGAGGGTTCAAGAAAAGAGTTGGAAAATTCGAAGATCGAATTCTCTAGAATATGATGAGAGGCTTAGATTCTTCAATAATCTCAACTTAGGAACACAACAACAAAGGAGATGATGGAGATAAGAGATTGGGTGAAGAAGAAGGCAAAATGGCTAGAGAATAGAATAATAGCAAGGCTCTCCCATGGATCTCCCACTTTCACTCTCAAGGTTGATAATGGAGAAGGGAAATTAGTTCTTTCCCAAGAGTTAAAAAATCTCCAAAATCCATCCCTTGTAAAGCTATGGGTGGGTGCTATTTATAGGCACCTCATGATGTAGGATGGAGCCCATGTGCAAGGCACATGGGGGATATTCTCTCTAACCACCTTGTCCGAGGAGGTGACCTCTCCGAGGAGGTGACTTCTCCGAGGGATGAGAAAACCCCGAAGAGGAGATTACTCCCTCGGCGAACCCTTCTTCTTAGCCACACCTAACCAATGATCCCAATCATCCCAAAGGGTCAGGGGTAGTCCCAGAGGACGTCCTGCCGCAAAAAAATATTGCCGAGTCTCATGGACCCCCGGGGTCGTGCCACCTCGACCCGGGTATAGGCGTTTAACCGAAGAGTGAATTTATCTCCACTCACCGTCCTCGGGATCGGGTCCTTTGTTCGAACTCCATTACGCCCATGGTTCTGGTGCGTAGATCCCGGAAAGCTCCGAGCCCGCAAGTGTTCTGGTACTCAATTAACGGAGCGACTTCTAGATTGCGTCTGAATCCGTTCGAAGCCAAGTACTTCGGATCTCTAGATTCGTGGATCCGAATCCTTTCGAGTCCGAGTGCCTCGGATCTCTAGGCTTGCTTAATACCCTTTCGAGTCCGGGCCCGAGTAAGTCTCTAGGTTCGTGGATCCGAACCCTTTCGAGGCTTAGAGCCATTCAGCCCGTTTGACGGAGATAAATCCAGGCCCACCAATCTTGGACTTGCGATAAATTCGGGCCCACTAATCTTGGGCTATTGGGCCTAAATAATTTAGTGGGCTTAAATTAGCTCCTCTTACAATTACAAATACGGTTGCATTTGGATTAAGGATTTGGATAGAAATTTAGAAAAAGAAAAGAAAAAAAATGAGAGAAATAGAGAAAATATTAACTTATATTTCATTCACATCTATCCCATTTTCTTTTTTAAATATCTACTTAAATTCAAAATCCAAACAATTTTAAGTCTTCATTGTATTCCTACATGAGAATCAAACAACTAGCGTGACCGGCCGAAGGTTTGGCTAAATGAGCACCTGATGGCTAAGTAATCTCTTCCTGTGTAGTGTGAAATATATTTTTCATGCACCTTCCCTATCATGGTTCCTCCACTATTTATAGAGGTGGGGAATGATTTCCCACAATCACATTTTCACCTAGACAAACCAACATTTTAACTTTAGCATGCTGCTTTTGCATGCCGGGTTAAGTTGGTTAAAAGTTAACTTTTTGTTTTTATTTTTTTTATTTTTTTTAAAAAACATTTATAATAGCCGAGAGATAATGTGATCCAAATAGGTTAAAAGCTGAAAGATAACTTTTAATCATCTTTCCAAAATAGGCTTAAGTTGCCTTATTTGGTTTTGGTTCAGCTTTCAATAGAAGTCTGCTACGTCAATATGATGATCGTAGCCACAGGTGAAAGTAAGGTGGTCTATGCAAGACCAAGGCTCCCCTAAAATTTTGAGACCCTTCTAATATTTCATGCAAAGTCTAGTGGTATATGGGTATCATGTACGATATCCCCCCCCCCCCCCCCTTAGTTCCTTTTGCACTATGCATGGTTATTATCTTCTTATTTTTAGTTTGGCCCGCTTGAAAGAAAATCTTTGGTTCCGAAATCACAGCTTCTTATTGGTCTCGAGCAAGTGGGATCTTAGGTTGTTTTCTACAATAAATGACCGATGATGAGTAATCAAAACAAAAAACAGATCATCTCAAAGTCCTAAATAATTTTTTTTTCCCCCTTTTTCTGCCTTCTTTAAATGTGATAGTTATTTCTCAGGATTCGTCTTTATTAAAATTGGAAATTCTCAATTTTGACATGAGAGAAGCAAGCCTGGGTTTTAGCTTAGATTACTAACAAGAGTTGAAATCCTTATTCCAAAATTGGCCATCATTGTTTGTTGGTTTTAGCCACAAAATCAATCAAATAGTTTCAGTCAAAGTGGGGATTGAGAATGTTGAATTGTTGGCCAATGCGATTTGCGTGGGCCTTCCCATGTGACTCTCACCAACAGAGCTTAATGTTGTTGTGTTATTATTATTATTATTATTATTATTAGGGATTTTTATTGATAAGTTCAATTTAGAAGTGTTTTAACCCAAGAAGTTCATGAAGGAATTTTTTAACCCATTTAGTCCCAAGTATGTATAGTTTTATTCCATAAAGTCCATTTTCTTGATTTACACTATTTTCTTGGACATTTATGCCCTTATATTTAATTTTGATACCCTTATAAATATTTTTTCAACGATTAACAATTTAATGATGTGAACATTCATATTTTAAAATTCACATTTGTAGGAATGTAAATTGGCCCGTGGGTGACCCGAAACCCGCCCGCGAGCCAGGTTGGGCCCGGCCTGTGGGTGCCCACGAGGCACGCCACATAAGAAGCTCACAACAAAAAGAAGAGGAAGATAAACTATTATGAGTTCTAACTCACTCTCTTTCTCTCTCATGTTTAAAGATTATCATCAAACTCAATATCCTAATTGCTAACTGATGGACAGGAGTTTAAACTAGCATCACACACTGGTCCAATGCTCACTTTTTCCTTTCTATTTCAGATCATGTGGATCCATAAAAGATTGAAAGAACGTTTAATATGTCCCTACCCGACAAAGTTGGAGAAATTTCGTCCCACATCGACTCACAAACCCAACTATGGTTCTTGAAAGTGGTTCATAAGGGTGGGTGATTCCACAAAATGAATTCACGCAGCCACGCGATGAGCACAAAGCGAATTATTCTTTCGCCTTTTACTAAAGAATACCGTGTGCTCGTCGCAAATAGTGGCATACGCCTATTTTTGGAAAGCCCTTTCCAAAGGTTTGGGCTCCTTCAAACCATTAGTTTAAATTTTGATTCAAATAGCAGGCTTCCTATTCTTTCTCAGTTTTATGGATTTAGCGAAAACATTTTTTTTTTAAATGTTTTTAACATATTTCCAAACAATTTTATGTTTTAACTTTAAGCATCATTTTCCTGCAATTTTGTGCAATTTTGTTCATCAATTTATATTATATATTAAGAAAAATGGAGTTTTTAACCCCAAATTTTGTGCGAGTTCCAATTTCTCAATTTAAATTTTTTGATTTTTTGATTTTAAAAAAAATAGTCTTAGCATTTATTAAACTCTCAAGTTTTACTATCATAATAACACTTTAATGCATTAATAACAAGCATAAAAATAATTCTTTGAAATCCAACACACGAATTCCTTGAAAAGTCTCAACATATATGATTATTATCCCTCATAATAACACTTTAATGCATTAAGAACAAGCATAAAAAAAATTTCTTGAAAAGTCCAACACATATGATTATTATCAAAATTTTAAACTTTAAATATAATATAATAAAAAAAAGACATTTAATTCGTTGAAAAGTCCAACACATATGATTATTATCAAAATATTAAATTTTAATATAATATAAAAAAGAAAAAAAAGAAGACATTTAAAAAAAATATTAAAAATCGCAATTCACATATATAGATAATTGTAAACACAATCCGTGCATAGCATGGGTAATATGCTAGTTTTTGATCAATAAAAATCCATTATAAAAGCAGAACAAGGAGAGAGGTAAACCATTCATTTTAATCTCTTAACTCTATTTGAGTGCTCTCATTCTCCCACCGTCTCTCCACTCTTTTTCCCTCTGTTTGGCTTTCAGGAAAATGATACAAGAAAAATTCTTCCGGAGGAAATTGATGTAAAAAAAAAGAAAAATAAAAATTAATTAATTTTCTAACCTGTGCCTCGTTCGCAAGAAAGTTCATAAAATTTGAAAAAATTTTTTTTGTTCAATCTAAAGAATTGACTGAACAACGCTGAAGAAAAGCATCAAGCTCGTTTCTATTTGTTTCCACTTCTCTCTCATTTATAGCTTCAACTGTTAATTCAACAAGTTCCACGTTTGGTCCATCAATTTTAGATCAGTTGCATCAAAAACCAATATAATCCCAACAATTTTGACCCTTTTTTGTTTTTATTTTATATATTTCAATTCCATCAAGAACGTTAGCTTTGGTAACAATTGGTAGATATGCCAAGGTTAAGACCACTATTTCCAGTTGTGATTGCACTTTCACACTTGTTCCCATGAAAATGAAAGGGAATACACCTAAATCTGGCTGGCTTTGCCTTCTGTCATTGAGCTCACATTTAATGTCCATTATGTGGTGGGG